ATTGTGGATAATAATACATAGACGAAGACGATGAAATGGAGGACAAAAACAAAGACATGAAATTAGACATTGGTGGATGGTGGACATAAGCGGTGGTTGTAGACAGAGACGAAGGCGAATATGGTAGATGGAGATGATGAACCGATAGACAACAAGAATACAAAGATAGACAATGTTGTCCAGCAGGTAGATAATGTTGTCCAGCAAGTACACAATGTTGTCCACCAGACCGAAATTGTTGTCCTACATAGTACACTACAAGAAAACAAGACTGTTTCGGACGGACAATATGGTTGGAAATCCGTCGGAAACAGCTGTTTCCAACCATATCGGCCGTCGGTTCAGGTGGTCGGAAATTAAGAATCGTTCGAAAATTGTTGGAAAATTTTTGCCGTCGAAAACGTTTTTCTACGGGTTTTCAACGGTTTTGGGATGGATTAATTTCTAACCAATTTCCAATCGATACGTCAATCCGTCCGGAATTGGTTAGAAATAATACCCACCGATTTCCAACGGATAGGACAAGCCATCGGAAATCGGTTGGAAATGTTTCTTTTATATCTGAATTATTTTTTAAAAATACCATTATTAATTTATTTAAATAGAATTAAAATACAATTCAAAATTAAAATAAAATTCTATAATAAAATTCCAAATTGTTTAAACTTTAAACATTAAAAGAAGTAATTATGAAAATGAAAAAAAACATAGTTTCAAAATAAGATTCACCATAGAACTTAATATTGCTAATAAAAATTTTCTTGAATTTTTGTCTCCTGCAAATCCCAGTATCTCTGCAATCCAATCCAAACATCATCGTCCAACCATTCTGGCTTTTCTTTTCCGTCGATCCACTTCTGCTTCTAATTAATCGTTCATGTGGTCCAAGTACCGTAAAGCAACCATCTTTTCGAACTCCACCGAATGAGCTTCGTAAGTTGAGGTTGCCAAGTAAAATCTTGTTGTAAATTAGAAACAAAAAAATAATATTAGTCATTTATTTGATATTATAACGAAATATTTTGTAAAAATATATAAATTTCTATCAATTACCGTAAAAGAGTGGAACCACATTTCTTTTTCTTCATCTAGAAAATCATTCCATGTCCGATATGGATGGCGGAGGAATCCATGCAACATTTTCTGAAACGACTTATTAATTAATGGATTATTGCCAAACCTAC